AGCCTCCCAAAGGCGCGGGATTACAGGCTGAGCCACCAAGCCCAGCTTAATTTTTTTTTTTTCTGTAGAGACAAGGTCTCACTGTGTTGTCCAGGCTGATCTCGAACTCCTGGGGTAAAGCAATCCTCCCACCTCAGCCTCCCAAATTGCTAGCATTGTAGGCGTGAGCCACTGTGCCCTGCTGAGGGAAGAATTTCTGAGAGCAGTAAACAACATCAGTTCAGTTACCCGAGAGTCCCTTACCCTTTCTGTGTACTGAGGGTGTTCTAAATTTTCCTCCAGCTGCTCAAAGAAGCAAGAAAATAATTTCTCCATTCATTGTTCTTTACCTGTGCCACAGGGCCATATTACTTTACTTTTGGGCTGTCCACCTTTGAGGGAAGCTGGGTCTGTTCCAGTTGTACAAGTTACAAATAGAAAATTCGCTAAGGGATTGATTCCTGGGATCACCATATCTTGAAGCTGGTCTTAATAGCACAAATCTCAAGTTCCTTTGGTTGTAATGTCCCACCTCCTCAAAATATTGCTAGTTTTTTTTTTCTTCACTTTATTTTCTCTTCCTCTTCAAAGAAGAAGATGCTACTTAAGAAAATTTGAGGTCTGTTGTGATGGCTCATGCCTGTAATCCCAGCATTTTGGGAGGCTGAGACTGGAGGATTGCTTGAGGCTATAAGTTGAGACCAGCCTGGGCAACATAATGAAACCTCCGTCTCTATTTTAAAAACAAAACAAAACCGGGCACAGTGGCACGCATCTGTAGTGCCAGCTATTTGGGAGACTGAGATGGGAGGATCGCTTGAACCCAGGAGTTGGAGGCTGCAGTGAGCTATGGTCATGCCACTGCATTGCAGCCTGGGTCAGAGAGCAAGACTCTGTCTCAAAAAAAAAAAAAAAGAAAGAAAGAAAGAAGGAAAGAAAAGAAAAAGAAACTTTGGTTTCATGAAGAGTTGACTGAGGGAAATGAAGACTGAGAAAACCCAGTGTCCATGCTGTCCTCTTCTTTCTTGAGCCATGAGGACTGGATCTTTGTTTTTCCCAGGCAGGTTAGTTTTTTTTTTAGTCACTCGTTTGTTCTGATAATGTATTTCTGACACTTAGAACAACTTTACAAGTCCCTGGAACCCAGCAGATACTTACTCTTTGTTGAATGTTGCCAGTTGAATACAAAGCATGTTTACATAATGCTGTGTAATTGTCACCGTGGAACCACAAGTAGTTATCCTTACATGACTGACTGATGCAAAGCTGGGATCATGGAGGCAGAGGGAGCCTCACTTTGTCAGATGTGAGATTCCAGTGTGGCATCATGCTGTCGTGTGTAAAAAATGAGACACCATGGACGTGAGCCTTGGTGTTGCATGGAAACTGGTGATGGCAGTGGCACCCCGAGCTGCTTATTTAACCTCTCCAAACTCCTCTAAATCTGGCCCCTGTCATCCATTCTTCCTGCAATAGCCAGAATTTAGATTGTGTCACTTCCCTGCTTAAAGATCTTCAATGTCATCCCACTGCACTTAACATAAAATTGCCAGTCCTGGCCGAGCACAGTGGCTCACGCCTGTACATCCAACACTTTGGAAGGCCAAGGTGAGAGGATTACATGAGCCCGGGAGTTTGAAACCAGTCTGGGCAACGTAGTGAGATTTCATCTCTACAAAAAATCAATTGCATGTGATGGTAACTCCCCTGTTAGCCCCAGCTACTTAGTAGGCTGACGTGGGAGGATCACTTGAACCCAGGAGTTGGAGGCTGCAGTGAGCCGTGATCATGCCACTGCACTCCAGCCTAGACAATAAAGTAAGACCCTGACTAACAAAAATAAAAATTCCCAGTCCTGACAAGAGGCAAGGACGGGGCAACATAACAAGACTCTGTCTCTATAAAAAAGTAAAAAAAATTAGCCAGGTGTGGTGGTGCGCTTGTAGACCCAGCTACTCAGAAGACTGAGACAGGAAGATCCCTCAAGGCTGCAGTGAGCTATGGTCGCGGCCACTGCCTGGGCGACAGAGTAAGACTGTGCCCCTTAAAAAAAAAAAATCCCAGGCCAGGCATGGTGGCTCACCCCTCTAATCCCAGCACTTTGGGAGTCCGAGGCGAGTAGATTGCCTGAGCCTGCGGGTTCGAGACCCACCCAGGCAACTTGGCGAGACCTTGTCTCTACAATAGATCAAAAACTAGCTGGGCGTGGTAGTGCACGCCTGTAGATCCAGCTACTTGGAAGGCTGAGGTGGAAGGATCACCTGAGCCCAGCAGGTAGAGGCTGCGGTGTCTGGGAGCATGCTGCTGCCCTCCAGCCTATGCGACAGAGTGAGACTCCAACTCAAAAAAAAAAAAAATTCCCAGTGCTTACTGTTCTTGGAATACCAACATAATTGGTTCCTTCCCCCAGCCTGCTCTGAGACCTTGTCTCCTCCCCGCTCCCCACACTTCACTATTTTGACCCGTACTGGCCTCCTTTCCTTTCCTTGATCAAGTCAAGCGTATTCGTGTCTTGGGGACTTTGCACTGCCTGCTTCCTCTATTTGTGTCCATGTTTCTTAGACTGTTGCACAGTTGCCCACCTTAATCTATTACTGCCTCCCCATATCACTCTATCAAGTCACCCTGTTTTTTCTCTAGAGCATTCACCAGTATCTGGAATGAGTTTCTGCTTGTTTGAGGTCTTCCCCTACACTAGAACACTTGCTGCACAAG